AGTATAACTACAAACAACTTAGTCTAAGCCATTCATTTGTTTATTTTATAAAGCAAAAATATTCTTTTGAAAATAATTAAAAAGTACTATTTTTAATATTTTGTTATAACACTTGTATATGCCAATTTTATTCGTATATGAAAACTTAAGGAGCGTTAAGGAGATTATAAGAAAGACAAAGTTATTCCAATATTGTACCTTAATTTCCTGTTATTCAGTATTTTATCATAATTTGAATTTTAAAGAATTTTTACATTTAAATCACTTATTGTAACATTAAAATATAACTACAAACAACTTAGTCTAAGCCATTCATTTGTTTATTTTATAAAGCAAAAATATTCTTTTGAAAATAATTAAAAAGTACTATTTTTAATATTTTGTTATAACACTTGTATATGCCTATTTTATTCGTATATGAAAACTTAAGGAGCATTAAGGAGATTATAAGAAAGACAAAGTTATTCCAGCCTGTACTTTACACCTGTTCAGTTAAAACCAAATAACATTAGGTTAGCTCAAATTTTTGTTTTAAAAAAATGATTTTTCTTAATGTTGAAGCAAGAAAAATTATAATATTAATTCAAAGTTACATACATATTTATCTAAATGCATCAAGTTTTGAATGAAGGGTTATGTATAATTATGTATTTATATAAGTCAAATAAAAAATAAGAATTGATATATTGGAAGAATTTGATTATGTTTATAAAAGATACTAAAAAAAAATACCCATTTGAACCCGGGTTTTATTGGGTATTTTTGAGTGGTTTTCTTTGGGGGGGGGGTTAAGAACCCGGATACTCGTGTTTTGTCAATTTTATATAATTATTTTCCAAGTTAAGTATAGTTCTGTACTTAATTTATTTAATTTACCTGAATATTAAAAACAGGTGGACCCTAAACCCCCAAATTTTTTACAGTGTGGGAAACCAAAATCCAAACATCATACTAGAAAACTTTCAAATTTAAATCATGCTATAGGTCAACATACAGAATGATAGGTTGTATAGATAAAAAAAATCACTTCTTTATATTGAGGTAGACCGCACTGCTGCTGGACTTGGAAGATAATCTTATATGTTTGAATTTTTATGCCGCGTTTTTTTTATAGATAGATAAAAGAAATTATTTATATCATTGTTCATCTTTATCTGTTTGAATAGAATTCGAGTATCAAACAAAAAAAATTGCATTTTTCTTTCTTTCTACATTCGTTATTATCGATATTTAAAAATTAAAAAGGGTGCCTTCATATGTCAATACAAATCAATTGAATCAGATAGCATTAAAGCCTTCGGTCAACAAATGCTTCCGAAATACTTATCTTTAATCTCTACATACCGGCCTTACCCTCGTAATCTTTTATAAATTGTTAAATAAAACGTTTATTGACTCTTAGATTAAAGGTTTGAAAGCAAATTGTACATTCCATTTCTTAAATCGGCATTTCTAAAAGCACTATAGATAGCGTCATTTTGCGGAAACTTAATTTCCAATTATTTATTTGAATTTAACGAATGATATTCCAATTCTCTTCTCTTGTGCTCTCTCTATCTTAACATCAATCACCATATGAAGCATTTGGGTAGTTTGAAAGGTTGATACAGTCAAATTTTTAGTAAAATCCGAAATAGCGATGAGTAACGAATATTTTCCGTATCCCCCCAAATGAATTTCCATTGAAACAATGTACTCGTATTTAAAATATAAATACCATCGAACCTCATCGAAGCTTCATATATTACTAATGTACCACGTTATACAAACGTTTTAGTTCAGATAAACAGTAATATTAATTGTGCAGCCAATTTTCCCATCTTTTCTAAAAGAGAGAGATATATATAAAAACTGTTACATGTCCTCACATGAGGATACTGAGCTGAGATACTGCCAGCTAACCAACTTATTAATTCAGTTATTTTAAATAAATTCACTTACGTGATTAAGTAGACGTAGGGCTCCCCTCTTTTGTGGAACAGTTTTGTAACCCAAATCATTCTGGCTGTTTTGAGAGAAAAATTGAAGCGCTGGTCTTTCTGTAATTGGAAGGGCTTTTGGACCGGCTTCAAGAAGTAGTACTGATACACAACAATCTTCAGAAAGCCGAGCTGCTATCGTAGAATTTGTTGCTCCTGCCCCAACTATAGAAAGAAATTAGCTATTGAAATATCATTCACCAACTTGATAACAAATTTATTTTATTTCTTTGTTTTCGTTTTAAACCTATTGCAGTTTCAATTAGGGGATATTTTTCTAAGATAACATGGTGATGTTTGTTTTAATCGCCATCAGTGTTAATTTAATGTTAGTGCTTATTTTCTAATGGAAAAATATCTTTTGAAAAATTGTGCTGTTCCTGTTGTTGGGTACAATACTAACTTACGGAGGATAAAACTCCGTTTGTACTGGCCAGTTAATTGTGCTAAAGTCTGTCTAAATATCTTTTTCTAAACATATTGAGATGAGTGGGAAGAAAACTTTACAACTACCTTTAACGTATCTTTCTAAACTATGGGAAATTCCTGAACGAGATTAGTGAACTAGAGCATTGGTTGAATATGTCACTATAGTAAAGTTTGACTTTAAATATTTTGTTTAGATATCAAAAGAATAGAATATTGCCTAAATAATATTTGACTAAATTGTAAAAAAGAGAAATTGTTTTTAAGAATTCAATCGAAGAAAAATAAAATTAAAATCTTTAAAAAAAAAAAAAGAAACGGGAAAATAAACAAGAACACTCGCAAAACAAAGAAAAACTGCAAATGCAAATATTACTTACCTACCATGTAATCATACTTCGATTTAAAATTGTTCGTAATTTTGGGATTATCAAACGCTAATGTAATAAAAAGGGGGAGAATAATTCTAGCCAATGGAGGTATAGCTGCTTGCTGATGTGAGTGATGATACAGCATTTCCAACTATATTCCCCATTTTTGATCCTCGTCTGCAGCCCCTGATAATATGAATTTGTTAAATCTCTTTGAGGATTTATAACAATAATTAATATGATACTGACGTACAATTCATAAACATTCTTTTATTTCATGTCCTCCACAATGCTTAAAGTGAAATACACAATACTTACTTAGTTTGGTTTCATGTTCTTAACAATTAAATATTATTATGAGCAATTATAAATACTCATTAAATACCAATTATATTCCCTAATTAAATATCATAGTAAGGGAACTTCTGAAAGGGCATTCAACAATACACTAAGTGTTCAGCGCATGTGTATTTTGGATAAAAGTGTAATGAAATCGAAGTGCAATGAATTTTGAATTATTGATTCTAAATTAATTCAAAAAAGACTTTCTATATTTTAATTATAATGATATGCAGTATGCAGTTTAATGTATCAACGCAGTTTAATTTATCTACATCATAGCTTAGCATTGTTTGCTTTATTCTGCATTTCGCAATAGTACCAGCCGTTCTTTGTAGTACTAACAGCACATTTCTGACAGCTGTTAATTTATGACCAAACAGTCAAATAATTTTTAATATTATTTTTAATATTTTTTTATTATAACTCTTGTCAATTTTTCAATCTCAAATTTTTTTGAAAGTTGTTAGATATGTGTGTTTATTCCCGATCATCTTCCTATTCCCTATATTTTTGTTTTAAAAATAATCGAATAATAACCCTTATCATTTGCGTTTGGTAATGTAATTTCTATAATAATAATTAAAAAGAGTAAGGAAATTGTGCGAGATACTTAAAAAAGACTTTTTTTAAAAGAAAAATGATACTATACTTAAATAAATTTTCTGATGATTTCTTAGTTTATATAAAAAAATACAGACCTACTAAAAATTTATTAAGCCTCATTCAAACATTTATTTTTATTATCTCTGTAATACTAAGTAAAAATATACGTGTTAATGTTTCAAAATTTCTTATTTTAAAAGAAAAAAATTATTAATATTTATTAAAAAAATATTGCACCAATCAAAATAATTTTATTCAATCCCAAGAAATATTTATTTTTCTCATTTATGCTAATGGACACCGAATTATTCCCACATTGAACTATAAATTACTCTTACTTTTGATATGTCAAAAGAAGCAGCGGCAAGAAAAAAATAAATACATAAAGAAAAGTGTGTGTTGTGTATAAGTGCGGTTTTTTACTATACGCAGCAAAACATTCCCGATCACAATACGGTTAGAAGTAACGAGACTCAGGGTGGTGGTACTTTTTACGGTAAAATCCATTTTCACAGGAATGTGTTACGGAAAAAGAATTAATATACCGCAATTTTTACAGTTATAATTTCTGTAATATCACTGAATCACTCAAATTAATTAAATATTACTGTAAAAAGTCCGGTAAATTTTACAATAAAATTGGATTTTACAGGTAAAATTGATTTCACGGATGATGAGCCTAAAGTGCGGATGCTTTAAACGTAATTTGATCCCGAATTTTTTGCAGTGTATTAACCTTACATTATACATTTGTTTACTTGCAGAATATTTTCTTAAAAACAAAATTTTATACTCTACTTTTATAGCACGTAAAGTGTTTTGTTACGGATTTTGTAGACAATGAATAAAACAGAACTGAAAAATTAGGAATAAATTTTATTCACTCAGTAACAAAAACCAAGAAAATTTAAAAATCAAACTGTAAAGACCAGGACATTTTTGCCCTTTAATTTTATGGCCATCTTGACAAAACAATCATTTTTATCTGTCTCAAAATCATTTTAATCAATCATTTTTATCTGCTTTCAAGTGATTTTTTTTTCTGCAGAAAATAGGGTTTCATGCATGTAAAAAAGAAAACATAAAAAGGAAAAATACAAAAATAAAAATTTAAAAGAGAAAAATATAAAAAATAAAAATATAAAAAGAAAATATAAAAAGGAAAAATATAAAAAAATGTAAAAAAGAAGGAAACATTTTTAGCCAGTAAGGTAAAATGTTAGATTCAAAAATCTTAAAAATTTAAACTGCTGTTTGTAGAAAATGCAACACCATGAANTCTGCAGAAAATAGGGTTTCATGCATGTAAAAAAGAAAACATAAAAAGGAAAAATACAAAAATAAAAATTTAAAAGAGAAAAATGTAAAAAATAAAAATATAGAAAGAAAATATAAATAGGAAAAATATAAAAAAATGTAAAAAAGAAGAAAACAGTTTTAGCCAGTAAGGTAAAATGTTAGATTCAAAAATCTTAAAAATTAATAATTTTACAACATTTTCTGCCAGTTATTTAGCAATTATTCCGATCAGGATTGTCAGCTTTGATCATATCGGCGCATTTTTCTCCAATCATGACGATGGGTGCCTCAGTATTTCCAGATACCTGATTCGGAATGATGGATCCATCTGCCACTCGCAAATTCTTTATTCCTTTAACCCTATATTCATAAATAACAAAATTCATTGAGATTGCGCTGCATAAAATATTAAATATGAAGAATAGCTATGTTCAAAACATAATTTGACTAAGAAAAATTTGACTAAATTTTTCTTACTAGGAAAAATTTCTAATCAAATAACGATAAAAACGCTGATATATCTAATATTCTGAAATTCCGCATTTTTCACAGTAATATTTACCATAAAATCACCGAATCACTATAATTAGATAAATATAACTGTAAGATCCATAAATATAAATGTAAAATTCGGTACAAATTTATTTTACAAGTGCTATTCCAAAAGTGGAAATACCTTTTACCGTTATTTGATTGGAAATATTTTACATTTTACAGTTTTAAGCATATGAAAGAAAAGATCACGACTTTAATTAAAATAAATGAAATAGTGCAAAGGATTTTAGATATTGCTTAGATTTTTTTTTGAGGGAATAGACCACGGAAAATATAATTTTGCAAAAAAAAAAAATCTGAATAATTTATTATTTTTACAGATTTAGGCTTTAAAACAATACTTGTTTGAATATTAAAGGATTCTTATACTCCCTTACCTTGAAAGAATGCTAAATGCTTCTTTAGTCGTTTAAATGTTATTATTTTTAAAACTGTAAAATGATTCTTTGACTCTTTCTTAGTTAAATATCATAAGTTCTTCACAGATAAATGTTTTTCATAGTTCGGCAGGATACAAAGATTATCTTTCGAATAGATTTCCATTTTTTTAAGCTTATCTAAATAAATTATATCTAAACTTGCAAAAAAAAAAGCCCTTGAAATATATTTTTGAAATTGCTTTTATTACCTAATTAATAAATAAAAAAAATACGTATAAATAAAAAAATACATGGCTCAGTTTTGATTGTGAAAAATAATGCTAGAAATTTTTTTGTCAGAATTGCATTAAGTATGGACTCTACAACATTTCTATGGTTTGGAATATGCAATGAATCGACTTTACAAGTTTAAATGAAGTTGGTGGACATGAAACTATGGTATTCAAAATTTTTTAACTTCCTTTAACTTTAACGATCGAAAATAAGGTTAAAAATCTTAAGTTTTTGGAATTTCTCTCCTTGAAAATAAAAGTTATTAAGCAAAGTAGATAATGTAAATAATATGTGCAAGATTAAAAAAAATAATTTTGAAATCTTACTTTAACTGTGGATCTACAACTGTAGTTTTGTCATCGGCACTTCCCATTTTGCATGTACCAACTGGATGGTACAGATTGAATGTGTAACCCACAGCTATACATCTTAAGTACTCCGGAGAATAGTACGTACTGTTTGCTACAAATTGTTCGCATCCAGGAAATTTCGTGTCAAATAATTTTGCACCAATGTCTTTGAAAGCCTTCGTTTTTGTTACAATATCCACATTTTCTTGCAGCACTGTAACAAAAAATAAGAACTTATATAGTAGAATTAATTATTTTAATTAAAATTACATTTTGGGGGAAGTATAGATTTAAAACTTTGTTTTAAAACGGTACATTCAATTGAAATGCATTATATATAAATTACATAAAATGTCTAAAATTAATTCTTTCAGAAATTCTTTTATGAAACTGTCTAAAACAATCCGATTTTATATCTAAGAATTATTAGAATTTCTAAATGTAATCATCATCTGAATTAAAAAGAATATTGCAGATAGTAAACGTTAATAATTATTATATTATTAAAATTTATTTCAGTTGAAATTAATTGTCTTAAATGCAAAATTTTAATCCTTGTCTAGTTTAGTCTGTAATATGAATAATTTATGAGATATCTATTCGCACTTTTCTGCAATAATGCAAAAAACCCTTTTAGTTTTTTAAAAAAATTTGTCAAGAAATACTAAAATTATTTTATATTTTTGGGCTTGTTCAAGTAATGCTATTTGTTATACTTAACTGTAAAATTTAAATCTTTCAGAAATTTGAGAGACAAGCATTAAATTACGAACGGGAAAGTGTGCTTTTTAGCACTTAATGTCAGAAAACATGGCGATAAACTCAGTGCTTGATTACCCATTAGGCCAGACTAGGCCATGGCCTGGGGTCCCCAGTGATTAGGGTCCCCCTTAAAATGGATTATTTGAATAAAAAAATTTAAAAACTAAGAAAAACAATAATTTTTAAAAAAAAAATTATAGTAGCAATTAAACCAATTTTAATGTAGCGTTGATTTAGTAAAGTTTTAATAAATTTCAAATTTTCTCAAAATATTATGATTATTTTTTAGTTCTAATTTAACAAAATAAAGTAAAATTTAATTTATTGTTATCCATTTTTGTTTAAATATGCTTTCTTAAATGGAAAGACATATAAATACTTTTATATTAGAATAAATAAAAAATATACGAGAAATTTTTTTTTATCTAAGGGCCTCAAAAATTTTAATGGCCTAGGGCCCCGAATACGCTTAATCCGGCACTGGATAAACTTGTAACTCATATCGATTACTTGGGTTATTCTGTGCAATAACTACATAAACTTCGGTAAACCCAGCTTAAATATTCAAGGAGATATCCGAATTGAATCGCAAATGATACTACCCTATAATAATTGATTGAACAGTAAGGTATATGGAAAGAAAACGCTTGAAACAAAACATAATATAATCAAGTATGATTCCATGTATTGCCATTGTCATTTTAAGTAAATATTATCAAATGATATAAATTGAACTTTGTGGAAATCCTTTATCATTCCAATTTGTCTTTCAAAAGTTACAAAAACAACTTGGAAAAATGCTAGTAGCTTTTTATAAGTCACCAAATACGTTTCAAAGCAAAATTATGTAAATGTTTTTAAAAAAATTATGTAACAATTTTTTTTTTCAAATTTGAAATGATATTTTTGTTATTAATTAAAAAATACTTCAAAATTTTTTTTGACTATTTTTTTACTTTTTCTACTATAATACCACGAAAACATAGGGTAAAAATAAATTGCTTTTAAAAAATAGTTCATGATCCACGAATGTACTTAAACAGTTATTAAAATCAAAGTTGATACAAGTCAAAACTTTATTGCTATACTTTTAAGCATAAGGTGTTCAAAAACACCATTTTTCTTTCGTAATTTATTGCCAATCTCACGAGCTGGTAAAAACTTTAAACCTAATTGATACGTATGAGAAATAAAGCGACTTAACACCTCTTAAGTTATAAAATAATGGGTACTTGCACTTCTGGAAGAAGACCTCCCATACTCACACATGTGACCTTTGATGTCAGCGCCAACTAATCTTTATCAGCAAAATGGTGTATTAAATGTGAGCTAAGTTTCTTTACATAAGTTAGAATGTTAATTAACGATGAGTTAATTAAATACGGTGCCTTACCACACAACGAATTAGTTAAAATAAAAAATTTTCTCGTATACTGCTTTTTTTTTAAACTTAGATTTGTTATTTGCTTATGTATTTTATTCTAAAAGTGATATATATTTGTTTTGTGTACCTGGCAACTTCGATGCATAATTAGTTTGTTTATGTCCCTTCGTGCCTGTTTGTGTTCTGTCTATGTATGAAAAGATATTGAAAGAATTGAAAGTTCTGAGAAAGATTCTTTGTGAAAAAGTTTAGAATATGTCACTTAAGAGACTTCCTACTGGACGGGCTAGGCTTACTCGAAATAGAATGGAAAGTACAGTTGCTAACGTAAACAAATGCCACGTTTCAACAATCAATCAGGATCGAGATACACACTCTACGTCACTTGCAAGTATCATATTCTCAACGTATTTCTTGAAGAAAAAATTTAAAAAATTTAAAAAACTAAAAGTGTCTCTTCCGTTATTTTAAGGTAGTGTTTATATTTTGGTAATTCGAAGAAATACCTTACTTAATACGTTACTGACAAAATCAAAGTTTTTTGTCTTTTTAATATTAGCATTAGATATTAAGAAATCTACAAATCTAAAAATGAGTTAGATTTTGGATATTAAAGCATATTTCAGACATTTACCCAGCCACTTCCAGCCAATTTAGATTTCACCGATGAAATTTAGACTTTTACCTGACTTCGAGCTGTTACAGTAACATATACACTGAAGAGCCAAAAAAACTGGTATACCTGCCTAATATCGTGCGAGTACGCAGAAGCGCCGCAGCACGACGTGGCATGGATTCGATCAATGTGTGAAGCAGCGCTGGAGATAATTAACACCATGAATCCTGCAGGGCTGTCCATAAACCAGTGGGAGTAATGTCTGGGGATTTTGGTGGTTAGCGGAAGTGTCTAAATTCAGAAGAGTGCCGCTGGCCACCAAAATCCCTAGACATGAACATTATTGAATATATTTGGGATGCCTTGCAACGTGATGCTCAGAAGATATTTCCCGCCCCCTCTTACTCCCACTTATGGACAGCCCTGCAGGATTCATGGTGTTAATTATCTCCAGCGCTACTTCATACATTGATCGAATCCATGCCACGTCGTGTTGCGGCACTTCTGCGTGCTCTCGGGTACCCTACACGATACTAGGCAGGTATACCAGTTTTTTTTTTTGCTCTTCAGTGTAATACACTTTTTGAAATAATTGATTTCGTATTACCAAGGGTGCCACTCTTCAGTTCTGAGGACTGAAATCAGTCTTGAGATAAATCATTGGACTAAATTCCATTAATATCACTTTCCCATATCTTAAATATGTAACATATTTTCTGTTAAAAATAAAAAATAAAATTTTTTTTAGAAAAAGATGTTATTTTTCTCAATTATTGCAAAATGATGAAGTAATGATGCCACACTGCAATGACAGAATGAGATTCTTACTATTGCTGAATCTAAATATTTTTAAGTAACCAATGCATTGGCATGTTGGCCAAAAACTCAATATTTATTAATTAATATTATTATATTAAAGCAATATANGTCTTGAGATAAATCATTGGACTAAATTCCATTAATATCACTTTCCCATATCTTAAATATGTAACATATTTTCTGTTAAAAATAATAAAAAAAATTTTTTTAGAGAACAATGTTATTTTTCTCAATTATTGCAAAATGATGAAGTAATGATGCCACACTGCAATGACAGAAGGAGATTCGTACTATTGCTGAATCTAAATATTTTTAAGTAACCAATACATTGGCATGTTGGCCAAAAACTCAATATTTATTAAATTATTCAAAATCAATATTTATTAATTAATATTATTATATTAAAGCAATATAATTTATTTTTAATTATAGTGTTTGAATGAATAATGATATTGTAGCAAAAAATAAGTAGAGATCTGAATGGTTTCAGAAAAAAGTTAGCGTTTTTATTCAGTTATAGGTGTAAAAAATATACACAATTAGCTGCTATTTTTGTTTTGTTTGCTGAAAATTAATCAAATAAAGAAAAAATTTTTAAAAACAAGTTATTGAGGCCGTAATCACAGAATGGTAAATTTTGGGGTCAGTGAGTTATGCATTCCAATAACATTGATGTAGTACCATATTAATTTCTTAAAAAATAAGTTCAGTCTTGAAATTATTTTAGAGTGGCATCCATGCGTAATACATTTTGTTGGTCTTATACGTACCAGTTTAACTGTTTTATATCCACTGTAATTAAGAGAATGACTCTATTGGCAAAAATTTACTACATCATAATAAATGTGACGTCATTCATAGTTTTATAATAAATTTAAAAAAATTTCAGCTTGTAAAAAGTTAATGTTAGTTTTCTTAGCAAATCTACGTTTTTACTCTTTGCAATGTAGACAAAATATAAAGACTTTATTTTATCCTCACCTGCCTGTAATCGGTCAATGTCTCTTGCGTCTGCGAAAGTGTTAGGATCTATGAGAGGATGATCATTAGGATTTGATGTATCAAGCCTTACGGTTCCTCTGCTGAAAGGTCTCAGGAAGCATGAGAACATCGTGAAAGTATGCTTTCCCAGCTTTGGAAAGTAGACCTGTTCCATTACCTGTGAAGATGCGTGAAAAAAATCGAACTAAATATATTTTATTCTTTTATTATTCTAAAAAAAATACAACCTGAATGTATTTCAGAAAGTTATAATATTTCAGCAACATCACCATCATCGGTTAAAGCACCTAAGTAAGTATAGCCTTTCTAGCATCGATGCTATCTCCGTATACACATGGCTCATAACTGGTTTTTTTTTTCACTCCTGTTGGTTGAGCGTTCATGCTATTTGATCACTTTCAATTCATGAGAGTTAGTTTTATCAGTTTTTTTACAAGTGCATTTATCTTCGTTTATTATATAATTTTTAAATGTTCTGTACAATACATATTATTCATGATAGAAATAAGGTTAGAAATGAAAAAAAAACAAAGATTTTTTCTTAATTACAATGAATCATCCTATTCAGTCATTTAACCAAAAATATCTTCTTAATCACCATAAATACCCTCATCACTATTGTCTCTGCTTATTCCATACGTTTAAATATGATATGCCATACACTTTATTTATCAAAGAAGTAAGGTTAGAAATGTAAAAATGAAGGTTGAAAAAAATAAGTAACTTTATCAATTTTTTCTTAATTGTAATGAAAGAGGATCAGGGGATAGAGAGCAGGCCTTCAAATGAGATGAGTCGGATTTGAATACCGACGATGACTGATCTGTAAGAATGCCGCACCCGGTTCGTACCGACCACAGTGCTAAAGTAAAATATCCTCAGTGTCAGATGGAGCCTGGATTAGAGTCCCCTTGCAGTCAGGCTAACCGAGGGAGGCTTTCGCAGTTTTCCTCTCCATGAAACGCAAATGTAGGTTAGTCCCATCAAAAAGTCCTCCACGAAGGCAAATTTCTCCCAATGCGTGATCCAGGANAATTACTTTTATGGGGGTCGATGGAGATTTCGAAAAATTATGTAGGGGTCGATGATCAAAAAAGTTTGGCAGCCCCTGATCTAAGTAAATATAGTCTTTCTAGCATCGATGCTATCGCCGTATACGCATAGCTCATAACTGGGATTGTTTTCACTTTTGTTGGGTGAGTGTTCATGTTATTTGATCAGTTTCAATTCATGAGAGTTAGTTTCATCAGTTTTTTTACAAGAAGTGCATTTATCTTCGTTTATTATATAATTTTTAAATGTTATGTACAATACATATTATTCATGATAGAAATAAGGTTAGAAATGAAAAAAAAACAAAGATTTCTTCTTAATTACAGTGAATCATCCTATTCAGTCATTTAACCAAAAATATCTTCGTATTCACCATAAATACCCTCATCACTATTGTCTCTGTTTACTCTATACGTTTAAATATGATTTGCCATACACTTTATTTATCAGAGAAGTAAGGTTAGAAATGTAAAAATAAAGGTTGCAAAAAATAAATAACTTTATCAATTTTTTCTTAATTGTAATGAAAGAGGATCAGGGGATAGAGCGCTGGCCTTCCAATGAGATGAGTCGGATTTGAATCCCGACGATGACTGATCTGTAAGAATGCGTCACCCGGTTCGTACTAACCACAGTGCTAATGTAAAATATCCTCAGTGTTACACGGAGCCTGGATTAGAGTCCCCTTGCAGTCAGGCTAACCGTGGGAGGCTTTCACAGTTTTCCTCCTCATGAAACGCAAATGTAGGTTAGTCCCATCAAAAAGTCCTCCACGAAGGTAAATTTCTCCCAATACGTGATCCAGGAGTTCCCTTGTCTTCTGGATTGAGTTGAAAATTACAAAGCTACGGAGTTGAATATTAGTTGTCGTAAACATGAAATTAGGTCGAATGTTCAACGACGGTTATAAAATAAAAAAATAAAATAAAATACCTCTGGGGGTATTGAATTGGAGATTGGTCGTTCTCTGATTCAGGCGAAAATTACGATCTGTGTACGTATGAATGGGTCCTCCTTGCTAAAAGAGGAACGATGCGTGTATGGCTGAAGTCGTATTTTGGCCATAGGTGACGCAACTGAAAAACAAGAAACGCACCTTCTGCCTTAAAAATCGTTTGGATTCCCATAAAAGGCTTGCTGGTATTGTCAACTGGCATTAGTATCAACAACCATATAAATTTGTTTATTTATAAAATTCAAAAGTATTGTTTACTTCTGAGTTCACAAAAAAAAAAAAATTATCATTTCTAATCAGGGCAGTTAGTTTTAATAAATTTGCGACAGATTTAATTATGCTTATGGTTTTAGATAATTATAAAAAGTGTACTTTTGGCGGAACACCCAACAAATGACTGGATACGACTCCTCCATCAGACGAGAGTGAGTAAGCTTCTAAATGAATCTCTAAATCAGGCCAATCAAGAGAAGGATCATTGTATTTAGAATTAACCCAAGCAAGACCTTCTACACCGTTGAGGCTTGCATAAGGTCCTGTAATTTAAATAAAAGTTAGTTGTATAATCAGAGTGCAGTGAAATTTTATAATTATGAAAAGAAATAAATACGCGTTTGACATAAATTTTCTTTGAGGGCCTACCAAGACCTTTTCTTGAATTTGCTGCTTTGCGTAATTGCAATAGAATCTCAAAAGTGATTTTATTATTATTTATTTTTGACACTAAGAATACCCTTTCACAAACATAGAGACCCTTCCTATTGTTCTTCCTCTATTCGGCATTTAACATTTTTTTTTTAATTTAGTGATAGCTGAATACCCGTTCTTCGTTCGGGGGAAAAAAATAAGCGTCAATAAATCAGTACTGAACACCTCGATAAAATCATATAAGAAATGATAAGGCAAATATGGATATAAGTAATAAATAATTCCTTTAATAAATAAATAATTCCAATAATAAATAAATAATTTTAATAATAAATAAATAATTCCAATAATAAATAAATAATTCCAATAATAAATAAATAATTTCAATAATAAATAAATAATTCCAATAATAAATAAATAATTCCAATAATAAATAAATAATTCCAATAATAAATAATTTCAATAAATCCTAAAATAATTTCATTGTTTTTTGTTTATTATTTGTTGCCCTTTTTAGTAGCTTTATGTTATTAGGTTAGGCAGAACACGTATTTAGTAGTCCATACTATCAAAATGAAGTTTAACGATGTATTCAATATTATCTGATTTTTTTTACAGTGTTTGCTTTTCATATTATTATTATTATTCTAATATTTTACAAATAAACAGGAAAAAGGGACAAGGATTAAAAGGGTGTTGGAACTCTCTCTCTTTTGTTTTTGAGCATTTAACGTAAGTGCATTTTTAAAATGAAGTGCAATTAAATTTTACAGGTCTTAAATAAAAGTATGGAAAAAATTAAGATTACAAAGCTAATTAATTCAATTTTGTTTTTTAAAATAAGCGCGTAACTAACGCTGCATAAGAAATTAACTATTCTAATACCAACTCGACTAAAACTGAAGGCTCAACATAAAATAAACATAAATAGCCATGGGTTATAATCCCCTTGTCTTCAGGTTGTCTATGGAGGGTTTTCGTGGTTTACCTCTCCATTGGATACAAATTTTGTTTAGTATCTTCAAAATTCCTCCATTAAGGTTTGTTTGTCCCGGTGCTTAATCCAGGAGTTTTCTTGTTTTTTGGATCAGGTTCAAAACATTGTTTGGTATAACCACATTTTTTTATAGTTAATTACAACTACTTTATTACAAATGTAGTGAACTATACAACTACTTTTTTTTTATTAAATGAAGCGCTTACAAAGTACTTTCGAATTGTAGTCACTACTTTGCAACTTTTAGAAGGCAAACTTAACTGGAGAACTTAATTATCCCCAATATTCAAAATGGTTTTGAATTAAAAACTGACATTGTTAAATTTGATTCATGTTTAAAGGAAATAGTTTTTTATTCTTAAGCCCTTTTTACGAATATGTTATTTTGATTTTCAAACTATATGCTTTTCGCGACAGTGATTTAAGAAATGCTAGGACATTATTAAATGCTTGTGATTTAAATGATCTATGCCTTTTTATATCCCTCAAGAAATAAAGTACAGTACGTAAAAGAAAATGAACCACCCTGAATAACTTTTGGTCTAATGATCTGACCTCACGTTCTAGGACTCAATCTTAATGGTTTGAGGGGGTGACAGCAAATGTGCTAATTTATTTAATCAGACGATACTTTAAGTTGCCAAATCAGATACAAAAACGTACATTATAGTTCCTGTGAAATCGAATTTCAAAAAAATCAGATATTTTACGAGCATCAGACTTACATCTTATAAACGCTCGGTCACAGACGCATTCTCATTCCCTGCAGTGACGGGCTCAAAATAAAATTTGCACCAATCAGATTCAAAAAAATTTTTGAGTTTGAACTTTGTTTCTTTATTTAACTAACGTTAAAAGTTGTTACCAGGAATCTATTTTTCTCTATTTTGTATCTCACTACACTTCTTCGTTTAAAAAGTAGCTTACTACACTACAAACTTCGGAATAAAGTAGCGACTACAGTAGTTCCGCTACTTACAACGCGATGCTTCCGACCACTGGTTCAAAATTGCGAGACTAAGGAGTTGAACATTGACGGTCGTAAACTCTGAATTGGGTCGGTTGCTTAACCCCAGTCTTAAAATAAAATAATATAACTACAAAAACTATTTGAGTGATTTGCACTCTTCTCTCACCTGTTCCCTCTGTATTGTACTTAACCAGATTACTAATTGGCTTGCTAAATAATTGTTGAAACGTATCTTTTGATCCCGTTGCTTCAAAATTTAAGAAAAAAGTTCCTACATGATCTTGATAATTGTCTCCAACAGGTAAATCTTCAATTACTGGTATCTAAAAGAATTCAAACTAAACGTCACTTTTTCATTGCAATTACAAAATTTAACCAGAAGAAAACTGGAAAATTTTAAATTATTATATTCATGCAATTTTAACACTGAAAGACACATACAAAAATTTTAAATTTTCTCTGGCTTCCTTTTGGAATTTATTTGAGGAAAACGTGCTTAAATTATATTCGTTCTTATCCTCAAAATGTTAGAAATAGATCTTTTAAAAAAATTTGACGAAATAACTACTAATGAATTACTGTCATTTTTGCTCAAATTATTAAAAAAATAAATCAAAATGACATAATTTTCAGAAATAATGAAATAATGAATCAAAAATAAATAACATAATATAAAAAAATAAATAACATAATATAAAAAATTAAATAACATAATATAAAAAAATAAACTAATACCACAATTTATTATTTGTATAAATTATTATGAATTTCATGTCCTTTGAATTGCAAAATTACAAAAATTCCTACAATTGGTACAAAACTGTTAAACTATTCACGGGAAATTTAAAATTGGGAGCGGTAATTAATTATCTATTGAGAAAATGGTAAATTATATATTATGCCTTAAAGAACCTGAGTTCAGGCTTCACGGACTTGAAGTACCGATTTTTCTCTTGCCCTAAATCAAATCGAACATTATAAAATTGGTGCATTTGCCCAAACTCATTTTGGGCATTAAAAATACAAGCTTATTCTCTGCACTGGCAATAAAAATTTTCAGAAGTTCGTTGCCTTAGAAATATGTAACAAATTTGTCAAGAGCTTTGGATGTATACCGTTGATTTAGGACAACATAACACGTAGAGCCGTGATGTCTAAGGGGATCAAGAGTTCGCCTTCCAATGAGGTAAACCGGGTTCGATTCCCAGTGATGACTGTTCAATAGGAATTCCACATCCGGCTTGCACAGTGCTGTCGTAAACTCTCCTCAGTGGTAGACGGATCATGGGTTGGAGTCTTCTTGCTGTCAGGCTAATATTGAGAGGTCTTCATGGTTTTGCCTCTTGATGTAACGTAAATGCTGGTTATATCCATCAAACAGACCTCCACGAAGATCGAATACTAGATTCAAGAGTTCCCTTGTCTTCTGAATAGGGTTCGAAATTACAAGACCACGGAGTTGAACATTGGTAATCGTAAACCCAAAACATTTGGTCGGCTGTTCAAGGATGGTTAGATAAAATAAAACATCAGACTCGAAATGCTTATTACTCATTCAAAGAAACGTAAAAGCTAAAGAAAAAATTTCCGTAAATAAAATTTCCGAGATTCAAACAATTAATCAGAAACTTAAATTATTTTATTTAAAAGCATCCCCTATTGTCCGAAATAACTATATATATATAAATATATATATATTTTAATGAACAAGCTCTTATTTAATATTTGGATCTTGTATCAGCATATTATTACTGAGGTGGCGGAGTTACCATGCCAACCTTCATCTATCAAAAGGTCATCAATCACGAGTACCTTTTGATAGATGACGGTTGGCGTGATCGATAACCCCGTCCCCACATTGGTGACCGTCGGACGTGATTTGTACACGCAGAAACGCCCACTTCGCAAAATAACTTAACGCCTAATAACTTAACGTGACGCCTATTTCAATGGATAGACCACATCAAACAGTTGACTTGCTACTTGTGACTGCGACATTATCCAATCCTCCTCAAGCTGTTGCTATTCAGTCTCGCCTCGATTAAACACAACGTCAGCCTGCATACACTCAACTGCTAATGGCAACACAGGAGTGACTACGACTGTGAAGTTACAACACCTCTCACTTTCAGCACTCAAAACCCCGGTGACTATCCCGGTTTTTCTCAAGTACAGCAACCAGTGGTATCCGTTCATCGAATTCTATCCCTGATAAAATTCTGGTGGGGGAGTATTGTGGCGTAACTACCACTACGAATATTAAACATCAATTCACTGGTACATAAGACATGCTCCAATCACGAGGTACCTTTTGATAGATGACGGTTGGCATGGTCGATAACCCCGCCCCCACATTACCATAGAAAATGCCCAAGAATTTAATTATCATTACTCGAATTATGCACTTTTAAAATACTATATTTAAACCTATACAAAGTGCTTGTTCCCGTTACCCATTGCGTTTTCCTTCTAATTCTCATTGTACGAGTCGAAATAATTTTCGTCTTCCCCCGGCTTTCTATTAGATTTCATATTATTATATTCTATCGATATTATATCTATATTTCTTATATTATTTCCATATTTCTTATTTTGTTTCTATATTTCTTATATTATTTCTGTGACTAATGAAATAAAAATAAATAGTTTAAACAGACTCACTCCTTTTTCCTCGAGGTGTTTCCCAGGACCGATTCCTGAAAGCATCAAAAGTTGAGGAGAATTTATGCTTCCTCCGCTCACAATAACTTCTTTGTTAGCATAGACTTCATGATCTTTACCATCTTTATGAAATTTTACACCATATGCATTCTTATATTTGTCTATTAATATCTATAAACAATAATAATATCTATATATGAATTTGTAATGATTAAAGGATTTCATAAATTTCAGCCTGTTTTCTGAAGGCATGAAATAACGCATCTTAGAGAATAATATTTAAATAATTGGCATAGACTAAGTTAAATTCTGCTCATGTTTAATCGTCATCCTTTATGATAATGGGATACCTGAAGGTGACGTAGCTTGTGTATCTCGATCATGATTGGTTGATGAAACGTGCGTTTTATTCCCATTATATTTCGAGTAAGTCAAGCCCATCAATTATCAATTCCGTTTAGTGGCATAATCTATATTCTTACACAAAGATTCTTTAGCAAAGATTTCAATACTTTCGCTATAGATTTATTTCTCAACACGAAAGACAGGTATGAAGTCATGTAGAGCATAAACAAACAAATTATAAATAGAAGTTCACAGGTACTCAGAACAAAAATACCTCACTATTAAAATAAAATACATAAACAAATAATAAATCTCAGTTAAGTATAAGACGTAGACAAGAAAAAATTTATTTCAACACATTCAATTTGAGATACGGTGATGTCTTTAATTAATTTCTCGTTAAATAAAGTTTTTTCTTATGTGGAGAAACTTAGTTCAACGCTTACGCGCCATCTCATATAAACACTATTACATATAAACACTCAGCTGGCGCTGACGTTATAGGTCCATTTGTGTGGGTACTCGTGATCTTCTTCTTGTAGTGCAATTACCAAGTAATATAAATGACTTTAAAAAAATGCGTGAAAAAGCCACTGTTTTTTAAAAATGAAATGCGTTTGTGAGTTAAATTTTTAACGCCTATTCCTACGCTGTATTGTTTCGAATCTTAAAACTTTAAGAAAAGTGGAAATAATTCATCGATTTTAATTTTTATCACGTAGCTGCAAAAATCGAGCTAAATTGATCGATTATTGGTCAAGCTAAATTGGTCAATTGGCCGAAAATTTGAATAATTTTTGAAATATTCAAGCTTCAAGTCATTTTTGAGGCCCAGATGTTACTTTCCTGCAACATATATATTATCATGAATGACCATTTTCAATAGAATGTCGACTTTCACCCATGAAACTCAACTATCATATACTCCTTTTGGTGAATGTCTGAAATATATTTACTAGGTCAAATTAAATGACGCTCCCTGGTATGCCCAACATTAATGTTTTCGTTAAGATTTAATGCCACTGACCGGTATACATTTATCCGGTATGACTTACATCAATGTTTTTTTAAGATCAAGTACCACTGCGCAGTAAGCACTTAACAGGTATTTCGAACATTGATGATTCTCCTAATCTATCCCCAGAAGATATTAAAATATCGAATAAATATAATAATATCAACTTAATAAATTCATATCAAATAATTTGGACATTCACCAAAGGAAGTATGTGATTGTTGACATTCACCTGTGAAAGTCGACATTCTCTAGATTTCGGTCATTCACAGTAACATTTATAATCTTAAATTAGCTGTAATTCGAATTTTTGCTGTAAAACTGTGGCTTGCCTTTAAACCGAACTGTTGCCACCAAAAACTAATTATTTTTTTTTGCGCAGACTATAAATAAATAGTTTTTTCTCGTACCTTTGTGACTAAAGCATCAGTAACAATGTCTAAATTTTTACGATCTGACGCTGGTATTAGAAATGCTTTGGATGTGCTGCACCTTCGACCATTTCTTGTAAATCCTTGCAGTGTATGAAATCCTTCATTGAAAAGAAATCATAATGAATTAAATTTGTTATAACTTCATTAAAAAAAAATACAAAGTAAAATAATTTTGTGAATCACCGGTTTGCTTTTCTCCATTAATGTCTCTATATTCATATCCACGTTCGGCAGCTGCCTTTACCCATGCATCCATCAATGGAGTGGTCCATTGAGCACTTTGAATTGTCAAAGGGCCACTTGCGTTATGGTAACCTTAAATGATAAAAATATTCCTTGTGTATTTAAAAACCAAGAATAAAACAACAGTATACAGCATCAATTATACATGCAAAAGAGCTAATAAATAAAAGTGTAGTATAAATTTTCGATCTAGCCAAAAGAAAAAGAAAAGATAATAATAATCACTTTTAGATTTACTTTTTTACCACTTCTTTTGTTAAACTTTAGAATTAAATTTTTCTACTCATTCCTTGCAGGGAAAAGGAAATTTACTAGTTTGTATAGATGTGAAAAATGCCTTTTTGAATTATAGTTTAGTTGTATTAAATAAAATGAGTATATTTTCTGGTACTAAATAGTGGCTACTACTTTCTCTGTAAAATGAATAAAAAGTTATAGCTGAAAAATGCAATGATAGTAAGTATTAAAACCAATAATAATGCTACACAACTTACTTAAAGAAAAAATGAATGTAAAGAGTGCCAAATCCGAATGTCTCCTTTTCTTTTCCTCGCTAGCGAATTTATGAAATATTATTCCGTAATTAACTTTGAACTCGCGTATGTCATTTTTAGAATAAATTAAATGACTTACCAGTTTTTAGTTTCTTATCTCAAATCCAGGGCGAGTCAGGAAGCTTGATTTAGTAATCACCGCAATTATGTATCATGACTATGCGTAAAAAAAAAAGGGGGGGACTATGTTTCCAAAACTGGAGTGGGGGCGGCTAACGGATCAATACTTCATAAATTCGCTTGCAAAGAAACGGTGGCATTCGGGTTTTGTACTCGTTACTTAAATTTCTTTTTTCTTATTTATTGTTGGTTTTATTAGTTGCTGTCAATGAATTTTTCAGCTGTAATTTTTGAAACTAACGATTTCCAAATAAAGAAAAAGAGCTACTATTAACAATTTAAACCAAGGTGGTTGAAAACAAAAAAAGGGGCATAAAATATTAAAATATCGTTAAAATTGGTTGCAAATTTTTATAACATATAGTAGACTATAGGCAACAAACGTTAGAAATAGTCTGATTAGAAAAAAATGAATCTACTTACAAAAGTTTTCACTCTTGGAAATTCGTTTAAGTAGTTTTCATTATGGTCATCATTCTCACTACGAATCCTTTTAACTAAATTGGTTTCTTAAAGGACAAACGTTGCAGAATAAATTGCCAGGACAAATAACAATCCAGCTGCTAATTTGCACAGTTCTAGAAGTCAACGTTTACTAATTTATTTATTTATTTTTACTCAGAGAAAAAAATTTATTTCGCTATTTCTGCATATTTTATTCGTACCATCTTCAACGATTTTTGGATCTGTGTTGCCTTCAGATTTAAGAAAGTATGGATAGACATCTTTCCAGGACCATCCAGTCGCTCCTTGTTTTGCCCAACCATCGTAATCAAGGCGATTACCTCTCACGTACAGCATATAATTCAACAAAGTTGACCCACCTAATCCTTTGCCTCTTGGAGTTACCATTTGCTGTAAAAGTTTAAGGGTTAGGAATGCATATATAAAAAAACGTTAAAATTGTGTTGTTAAATATATGAAATAAAACAATCGCATTATAAAAACCAGACAATGAATTATTATGGTCTCTATAGACAGTATTTCTGAACAACAATTTCATATTAACTAATAATTTCATTTTTGATAATAATTTAAAAATTTAAATTGGTCGTTCGTAACGAAGTGGTAGCTTTAACTGAGTGTTTGTAGTAGGTCATGAATGCATAAAGGGTACTCTTAAACCTATTAGAGGTACTCAGGTGTGCACTGCTGGAATTTTCATTCTGGTAAAATAACTGGCTGCTGTCTGTCCATTTGATTTACCATAAACTTCATGGTTAAGAACATTTCTTTACCTTTATTGTTTTGAAATTTTTTAGAACTGGTAAAGTTAAAAAACTGTGAATACAAAACTATACGTTTTTGTAATTATTTACAACCAGCATTTTTTGAAAACTATAACAATAAAACTCAGACATAGGATGTGGATGATGCGCCATTTATGCGTGAATGAAAGTTTCGTAATCTATTAGTATCGGGTCAGGTGTCAATGCCAAATCATCAGATTGAAGACTACATGATACTAGAAACTTTTCAAGTATTGGAGGAGGGGAAGAAATACCGTGGCATCAACACTGGGATTCGAACCACTGTTCAACTGGTCATGAGATCGATAAGTCCTCTCAGTCATAGTATTTATCAAGTAGCACAGAACATAATTTGGGGTTATTTGGTGCAGATACAATTCTGGTTGTTAAACCGTATTAGGTAAAATGAATCGAATTTACGTTTTTTCTCTTACTTAACGGTTTGAATATTATCTTTTTTTATTGTTTTGACTGTTCCGGTTGAATGTGGTGAATAAGCAATTATATAAATTGCTATTTAACCAATTTCAGGAAATTACTAACAGTATATTATCGTGCTTTTATATTAAGCTTTTTATATTACTAATGTTATCACGTTGTACAAACGTTTCATTTCACCAAATTAAATGCTAGTTTAATTGCAGCCAGTTTTCGCGTCTTTTCTGAAAAAGGGATAGAGAAAAAAACTGTATATGGTCAATTACTTGTAGGAGGATATTGGCGGAAAACTAGCTATACAACTTAAATTTAGTTATGTGAAATATTTTCACTTACGCGATTAAGTAGAAATTGGGCTCCCCTCTTTTGTGGTACAGTTTTGTATCCCCAATCATTAGGGCTATTTTGACTGAAAAATTGAAGGGCAGGTACTTCTGTAATTTTAAGGGCTTTTGGACCGGCTTCAAGAAGAAGTACAGACACACAGCGATCTTCAGAAAGCCGAGCTGCTATCACAGAACCTGCTGCTCCTGCTCCAACTAAGGAAAAAAAATTAGCTATTAATATATTATTCACCGTCTTTTTTATTATTATTATTACTCTTTCACACTTATTACTTTTTTTTCACGTTTAATACTAATGTTAAACAACACTATTCTGATGAATATTTCTCTAGTACAATTTCAATTTGAGAAGTATATTTCCATGATAATGTGGTGATTTTTGTCTTAGTGGCCATCTGTGTTAATTTAATGCTAGTGCTTAATTTTTAATGTCCAAATATTTTTTGAAAAAAATGTACTGTACCTGTTATTGGATAACACAGTAACGTATGGAGGATAAAATTACTGACCAGTTACTTGTGCTGAAGTCTCTCTAAATATCTTTTTATAAAGATATTGAGACAAGTTGAAAGAAAACTGGACAACTGCCTCTAATATTTCTCTCTTAAAAGTACATCATACCGCTTAAGAAAATTTTCGTCGCAAATTCTCGGCCTCCTTCATTCCTGATTTAAAGTGTAGAAAAAATGAGTTCTGACAAACCTAGAGTAAACCATGAAGTTTCAAATACTGAAAAGAAAACTTTAAAATATACAAATGAAAATAAATTATGAGATGATAACTTAAGATTGCGCAACAGAGAAGTTCTCTTCGAATAATTTGTTTACATTTCAATGTTTTGAAGTATTTTTTCCAGCAATTCAAACTTCATGACTTATTCTATATTTGCCTGAACTTACTTTTTTTTTGTTCTAAATTTTAAATTAGTAATAAAGGAGTAAGAGAATTTGAGGCGAAAATTTTCTTCCGCGGTGTGGCACTCTCTTAACTATAGGAAATTCCTCAGAGAGATTAATGAATTTTAGTAATATCAGCTGAACAGTGGAAACACTTTTCTGATTAATGAAGTTTGACTTTCAAATATTTTCCTTATTTTTCAAAAAAAAAAAAAATGAAACTTGTTTAGATAACAACTAACTCCTTTAAATGTACAAAACAAATTTCCTTTAAAGAATTCAATATAATTTTAAAAAAATGGAATAAAAATTTAAAAAATTGGCTGAAAAAATAACATTGCAAAAGGGAAAAGTTTTCAAGCAGTTGATTGAGTATTAAAATTTCAAATAAAAAATAATACTCTTATTATTGCATCATTTCATTCGTAAACGGAAAAAAAAACTAGAAATGCAAATATTACTTACCAACGATGTAATCATACTTTGATTTAGCATTTTTCGTTGTTTTGGATTATTATCAGGTAGTGCAATTAAGAGGGGGATAATAATCCTAACCAATATTGGTAAAGTCAGTGATGTGACTGTTAATAAGACCTTTACAACATTGTTCACCATTTTCAAATGAAGAAATTTCAAATGAAGAAAAATCAAGAATGTTTTCAATTTATAATTTGGACTCATAAAATCCAGAGCGCCTGATCAAACATCGATTAGTTCATCTTAACTTACACCAACAGCCAATCACCAACCAGCATCCATGAGGCCACGCTGTTTCTCTCTTTCTGTTTGTTATGTGATCACAGTTCGCTGGGATCACACAAAATTCGATGATGGATAATACTATTTTTTTATTTTATATTTTTAATTTTCAGATCCACCAAATTCTGAATAAACATCATCGACCCAACACATCTGACAAGTTGGTTAATGCCGCCTCGTGGCAATGCACCAAGATGCACGTAATTTCTACCGTTCCCCATTTTCAATTCTCATCCGCATCCTTTGATAATATGAAATTGTTCCATCCCTTTAAACTCTCGCTACGTATGAAATAGTGCACAAATTATGGTACTGACGCACAATTCTAAAGCGATTGCGTTTTTAAGTTTTTCGAAGTTACGTTTCTAAGTTCGTTCCATTACGGGGGAACTTCTGAGAGGACATTCACCAATACACCAAGTGTGGAGCACCTGTTAATTTTGGATAGAAATGTTGATTTCAAAAGTAATTCGAAAAAGAATTTCCATATTTTAATTAGCATGATATGCAGTTTAATGTATCAACGTCATAATTTGAAGCTTAGCCTTGTTTCCTTCATTGGATACAAATTATTTTCATTTAGTAGCTATCACAAAATGAAATTTGTTTAGCTGTAAAATTTAATTTGTAACTCTGAAACATTTTTAAATTCACATTAGAATTACTTTAAAAATGTTTAAATCCATTATGTATAGCATTGAAGCCTATTTCATGTTCAAAAAACGAATTACAAATAACGATAAAATAAATGTTAAATAAAAGTTTTACATTTACTTGACAAAAATTAATGGAAAGGCTTATAAAAGAAAATCTCAATTGTAAACAAGAATTACTGTAAGAAAGATGCGAAAAATAAAATGGCTGGCTGTCCGATTTAAGAGTTATAACTTTCAATTAAGCTATTTATAAAATAGAGCAATGTCTAAATAATTTGCATTTATTAATAAATCTATATTACAATGATGTTTTTCCTTTTTTCAACTTTTATTCTAATTTAATAATTTAATGCAGCGTAAATGGTGATGAATCAGCTGTGGAAACTAGTTTATTAAAGTCGCTGGAAACTGGATTCTTTTCTAGCTCTCTTTACTTTTGTATTTTAGGAAATGAGGAAGTTTCCATGTATACTATGTTTTCAAACTTTTAAGCAAATTCTACGCCTGCATATTTTGAATTACTTTATTTTTGAATCTTATTCAGAAAAAGCTCAGTTTCGAGTTTTAATTTATTGGCTTATCAGATATTTTTGGTAAATAAAAATAACTTTTTTTCCCCCAATGCCCAGCTCTATTAACATCCGTCAATTCAGGCATTTACAGGGCGATTTTGTTGGCCTCTCTTTCAGGGGCACCATATTAGGTGGGCCAACGTCGCTCCCACAGTGAGGACAGATAGTACAGAGATGGAAAGAACATTCATGCCTTGCCCGAGAATCGAAGCCAGAACTTTTCTGATGCAAGGACAGTTCCCTGGCAGTGGCAGCCCAGATTTAAATTCATGCTTATGGTAGTTGCCATAGCTAACAGCAGCGCAAGACATCCTGCTTGTTATTATCTTGTAAACTTCTATTAGACTATTCATGTGAAGTTTCGTGGTTTTTCTCATTTTGAAACGTTAATACAGGAGAGTATGGTACTATAAGTGCGTTGCATAGAGAAGTTAATCAGCCATGTATTAAAGTAAAAAAATTCCTAATTTCATATCAATAAATGTTGAAAAAAATCTATACAATTTTAAATGAACTTTGCTGCGTAACATTAACACTTTCATAAATATTGAAAGTAGATTTTGCGAAACTCTATGCAATAGTTTTTGATCTTTTGCCTGTTGTAATAAGTGCCTTGCACCAAAACTGAGCAACAAAAATGTCGACCATATCATAAATAGACATGAATAAGTTAATTTATGCATTTGTTATTAAAAAAACTAGTAACCATTTCGGTCATAAACCTCTTCCAATTCTCTGTATCATGAGCACATTTGTGTGCAATTTAAAATGGTAGTTTTTTCAATGTTTTTGTCTGCTGGATAATGGATAAATTACTCATACAGTAAAACTTGTGTAAGTTGACCACTTGTGCATTGTTTTAGTGGTCAACTTAGACAAGTGGTCAACTTACAGAGGGGGTGGGTCATTGTTTACATTTTCGTTTCCTATATCATGTTGCTATATATTTAATTTTTTTTTTTACTTGACTTAAAAATTTTATTCAGAAAATATGCAAATGAATATCTTAAGAAATGTGTTTAAACCTGAATGAACTTCAATTTGATAGATATAATTCTAATATTTAACTAATTTTGTTTTAAAAAATTATTTCGTTAGTTATGCATGTGCATGTGAATTGTTTAATACACTTAATGAAGTGTTAAAATCGGGTCTGCGGACTATACTAAGGTGCGGACTATACTATGGTGCGGACTATATGCGCGAAATTACGGTAAATATAATTTCTTAAAATATCAGAACACGAAAACATGTAATTTGAAAACTTTAACAAAATAAAATTATTTGAACCCCTTAAAATTTATTTACTACACTTAAAGATCAAAGACCATAAATAATGGATCGAAGCATATTTCAGAGCATTCATTTTTTCAAACGCTCACTATTGCAACTGGAAGAGCAATTTTTCAACTAACACACCTGTTTTCAATGAACAGATGAAAGAAATGGTCAAAAGCTGACTCCTTACAGTTTCCCCTGATGGTCAACTCACAAAATATGATGGGATATGAAAGGGTAGATTAGTTTTTTACACTATTTCACCAAACAAGTGAAATTTTAGCATACATTGCAAAAATGACAAAACATTTTCTAAATTTTTTTTTCTGGTCATCTTATGAGGGTTTTAAAATAGAATTTCATAATACTCCTAGACAAAATTGACTTATTTCAGTGGTCAACATACAAGATAGACAGGTGGTCAAGTTACAAAGGTTTTGCTTCTTTATATTATATAGGAAAAATTCCGTTCTTGATAATTGAGGTCAACTTATGCAGGTGTCCAACTTACAAGGGTGGTCAATTCGGCAGGTTTCACAGTAATAGGAGATGGCTGAAATAAATATGTAAAAACGTGACACCAAACCACCAAAGTAGACAAGTGAAATTTCGCTTTTTTGTTGCAATATTTTTCATAAATGCCGGAAAAGTATTCTGCAAGTTATTAAGTTTTCATTTCTACAGAAATAAAAGCTTTTAGATTTTTTTTACCCTATTGACTTTTTAAGATTTACTTACTAAGTAATTCACAACGAATTTACATTTCTCTTAAAGCACTTTCTGTCCTTGTATTTTTGTATTTATTGCATTTTATCAGCGCTACTAAACTGACGATCATTGACAGTCCATGATCATTAATTTGCCAATTAAATGATATGGTAACTTCTGCCTTTGCAATGTAGTTTGTATTGTTCTGGGTTGGCCGGTTATCATAAAAAATATACTGTCACTTTTTAAATTCTTATATAACATTTTCAATTAATTACTACTGTAGTAGAATCCATTATTCATACTGCATTTACTAAGGCTTAAAATAACTGAAATCAAACTAATGTCTTTAATTTCTTTCACTCACGCAATTTACTTGTCAAACTCTCTTGAGACAAAAACTTATATTTTATTGATGCTTAAAAAGATCCTTTATTTTTTGGCTATTCTTATATAAACAACCCTGAATAATCGTCATGCAATTTATTTAATATATCATGCAAAAAAACAACTATCACCCGAGTCTCCACCCAGAAAAATTTTGCCACACCCTTAATGTGATATTAAAAAAATATATCTTGATTTAAAGTATTTTTTTTAAATATTCTTTTTAGGTACTTCATTTACCTCACCTAAAAAGTAACTCATTAAGTTGTCAATATTACGTTTGTTAACAAAGAAACGTTCCCAAGATAAACTCCAAAATAGCGAAAAAATTTTACAAGCTACTAGTAGCAAAGAAAAATATTTATTTGCTATTTGTTATAAGCAAATACTATAAAAATAATAATTAATATTTTTTAACATTAAATATAACCATATTTGGAGAATATACTGAAAACTCGTCGTCGAGTCATAGGCCGGTGCCCCGTCTTTGATCGTGAGAGCATCTTTTGTAATTAGGGCATCAGTATTGCCCCATTAATATGTGATTCTAACTGTATAGTACAGTGGTGTACACTTATTATTATTTGCCCTTTCCTTTTTAACCTTTCGAACCTGGTTGGGCATATATGTCCCATCAGATGTTCTGAATAAACTGTTGGACAAAATAAATCCCAAACTTTATCTCCTAAATATGCAGAGAGGGAACTCAGATCTTGAAAAAAATATCACCTAGTTCCTATAACAGCAGAAGTCAAATGAGACCGTCTATCCGGGCAACTGGCACAGGCAGGCTCGCGGTCACAGTTAAAAAAAACTAGGTGCAAGGCACAGTCGCAAAAGTAATATTATAAATTTATGCGAATGCCAAAAGGTTGATAACAGAGGGTATTGTTATAGCATCATCACATATTACGGTCTTTAGATTTTTTCTCCTTCTATTTGGATGTTTGGCAGCACTTGTGAAACTGTGCTGCATAGCTTTCAAGAAATAACATTTTTGTGAAGATTCATACATTATTCCATGAGAAAAAATAACAGAGATAGAGTTAAGATAAAGTGACTGTCCTACTATAAGTGAGATTTATATATTTTTAAATTGTTTTGAATCCTAATTTGAATGATTTAGAAAGTTAGTCATTTTATTATCATTTGTTACGGACGGATGCTGGTGGGACATCAATGTCCCCCAGTCTGGTGCAAGAAGTGAGTCTAAACTTTAAAAACACTCATTTGTATTATCCTTCTTCTATCAGCA